ATAACAGCACTTACAGTTGACCGGGGCAGCTCTAGCAGAGCAGAAATTTGACAATCTGACTCGTTGGAAAGGTGGCATCCTATGACGGTGCCACGTTGAAAGTCACTGAGCTCTTCAGTAAGGCCATTCTACTGCCAATGTTTGTCTATGGAGATTGCATGGCTGTGTGCTCAATTTTATACACCTGTCAGCAACGGGTGTGGCTCCACATACTTTTGTATATATAGTATATTTCTGTCTCAGCATAGGCTGTAGTATCAAACATGGTGGTATATACTGAATGGTGTTTGCTTCGCTTCTGCCTCTCCTCTCTGTTAGGCTAGTATCTACTTCAAGTGACAGCTCTTTCCAAGGTACATGGCTGCACAGTTTTCTGTAGGCTGTATATAGTGCAACTTGGTGTGGTTATATTTCATTCAATACATCCAGACCAAAAAGACAGTTTCATGTTTGTAGTTTATTTACATACGATAATACAATTCATTTAGCATTTCTCATCCACAGAGATTTTGTCATCTCTGTTATGTGCATTTTAATACATTTATTTGAAAGAAATCAGAATGTTAACATTATCAAGCATGTATTTTAAGGCCAGTTTTGTGTAATAAATGGTAGAGAAAATGTACTGTAGTAGATTTGCAGACATTGAACGTGTGTGTTGTCCCAGTTTCAGAAACTGGGCTTGCATCTGTATGAGTTCTTGTAGCTACGTATGCAGCCCAGTGGAGAAAAAATAGATATAATCATACCAAAATGCTGGAAAGGCACCACTTTTGGGTTGTTCCATATGATTTCATTTTCCGACTGCACCCCTTTTGATTTGAACTAAACCTTTCATGTTTGCCCATGGTGGAAGTGGTCAGAAAGTGACTTTTTAGACCTGAACGCCATGCTCTACCAACTTCCCTCCCCTACCCTGGACGACGCTTGGCCAATTGTGCGCCGCCCCATGGGTCTCCCGGTCACGGCCAGCTACGACAGAGCCTGGATTCGAACCAGGATCTCTAGTGGCACAGCTAGCACTGCGATGCAGTGCCTTAGACCACTGCGCCACTCGGGAGGACAATAGCATACTCTTGAATACAGGATGGGTGTCTATTCAATCATATAAATATAATTAATAGAATGGACCTATCCCTTCAGACCCCTGTAATTTAGCTGGTACACCATTGACTTTTACATTTAATTGAAACTTTAACTTCCAATTACTACCAGAAAGATGGCTGCTGGTCCACCCATTGTCAAATGTCAACTTGAATGGGAATGTATATTCTATCATCTATATTTCTATGATTTCAATAGGTTTCCTATTGACAGTTTAATTTATAACAATGGATAGTCCCACTCAAGTCAAAATGCCCTGATGTGTGGACTTCCAACCATCTTTGTGGTACCATTTGAAAGTTGAAATTTCAGTACATTTTAGTACATTTATCAGCCAAAACATGACATCCACCCTGTATTCAAGAGTATGCTGTCTCAACTGATGGCAGGCACAACACAAACACCTCCGATTATGTAAAATTGGGTCCAAGCTACAACATATATGAACATGAAAAAAATCTGAGTTCACATGTTTTTAGATAATTTACGTTAAAGCTCAAAAAATGACATCATTTTCATTTGAAAAGATTTCTTTCAATAAATCATGAAACAGTTTGACAACCCTGTTTGTAAGCTTTCAAATGATATCAAACTCACCCGTTTATCTTTTTCAGTGATGAAGACATGGATGCCTCATGGTAGGGTGGGGTATGTAAAATGGGTCAACTTTGAGAACCTCTATCTCCTGAATGTTTTGGCATTCAGGTCCAAAAAGTCACTTTCTGACCACTTCTCCCATGGGCAAACATGTATGGAAGGTTTCGTTCAAATTAAAAGGGGTGCAGTCAGAAAGTAATTGAAATCATATGGAACTACCATTTACAGAATAAACTGAGGGAAATGAACCATTAATGTCAGTGAAGTAAATTGTAGATGTGACTCGTTTCAGGAAATTAGGCGTATTTCGCAAGTCACTACTTCACAGGAGCGCCATTTGAACGTAAACCTTTTTTAAATATCATAATGCGTTTTTTGGCTGAAATGCCTTCTGGAACATTTCATGTGCCTTAATAACAAACTTGTATGCCATCTGTAAATACGAATACAATTGTTAAATTACGAGCCTAGTTGGTTTAGCCATGGAAAAAGACAGCAATCTTCCCGCTAGTTATGATTGGCTGAGATAATGAGTGGGCTGGACATGCCGAGAGATGAGTTCGGATTGGTCTGCCATGTAGCACACTTCTGTCTATAATATGAGCTGGTCAGTATGTGTAGGTAATGCTTTCTAATGTGGCTTTTTTGAAAGATATCATGTAGTAGAACTGCATAAGTGTTGCTCTCCACTTTCTGGATGACCGAGTTTTGAAATCAGTGGAATTAGAGTATGATAACTAAGGAGATGGAGAAAAGTCTGGTGTTTGATTGGAAATATGCAGACAGAGTCGAAAAGAGAACACACAGAAGGCTGTTGTATAAAACACCTGTTTTTCTGCATTACATCTTCAAACTAAGGGCATCCGTGACAGAGAGGGAGAAGCTTCCATCGATGTATACGGGTAAGATAGTCTAGCTAGCTACATTTTCAGATATTACACGTTTCTAATTTTGTCAGAAAGTTGTTTTCATTTCAAGTTAGTGTACTGTTAGGTAGCTAGCTAACGTTGAACCTGGTTGGTTAGCTACCTGCAGATTCATGCAGGGTAGTAACGTTATGAGTTGGGATTATGGTTCATTGTTTAGCTATCTAGCTACATGTCTAAACAAAAGACTCCACTATGCAAGTAACTATTTCAATATAATGTTTATGATGTCACTGCGACAAATGTCGATAGACGTAGCTGGTAAATTCGCTCTGAGTTTACGAACGCCCAGAGCACAGTCTGGCACTCCAGATTAAATTTCCGAACACTCCCGTAGTATAAACCAGCCTTTAGTCTTGAAATCTTTGGTTGTTTAGTACATGGCCTCACATGTGAATCCTTAAAGAGATGGCTAGGGCTAAAGTAAATGTAAAGCTTAAGAGGGTGTGAACGATGCTGAATGGGTGTATACAAAGAAGAGCTCTCCAGTAGGTACCAAAACATTCAAGGGCGATGTTCTCAAAAAATGAGGTTACAAGTTTATCAACTTTCAAAGCAGAATACCTTTCCCATTGTTCCTCAACTGTAGTGTATGATATACCATTTTCTAGCTCTGACTCTCTACTTTTATCCAATGTAAAAAACACGATTTCAAATTTTGCTACATAAGACCGTATATCGAGCCGGTCGGTCACGTATAACTTCAGACTGCAGACCAAGCATGATATTATGAAAGAGTTCATACTCCATAGTTATCCAAGTGGATTCAATATTTAGTTCTGCCTCCAATGCATCTGGCCTCTGTACAAGTACCTCCTGTCTGTAGTGCATTTTTTGGATTATGTATCTGAAAAACATTTCATTACAGAGAATAAAACCACCAGTCACATATGCAGGTTCCAAAGTCTCCAAACAATTGTGCATTCAGTTGTGCATTTATCGTACCAACTCCGCTCAAACACTGAGGCCATTTTCATACAAAATCCCATTTTAACACACAGCTATGTAGATTTTGCTGGTCACATCATACATATGAACATAAAATATACACATTCTACAGTATAATTGTTAATCAGCTAAGCCAATGCACAAATGCACCAATCAAAAAACTAAATAAAAACATAAACAAACATGTTGAATGAAAGATGTCATCGTTAACTCTACAGAATACATTTAAGACTGCTGTGCCTCTCTCTTTCAAGAACAAAAAGGTGCAACATAGAGAAAATAAAGCTGTCTGACACCGTTTGTGCATATTCTCATTCAAGAGCAGTCGTCTGTGTTCAGGCTGAGTGGCAGTCAGCAGTGCTGCTGCCTCGTAAGGCAGTGGGACATGCAAACAGACTAAAATCACATTCAGAAGTTGAGCTCGTTGACAGCAGACTTGTTACCATATTTGCCATCTACTTCCAACATGGCTTGTTCATGACTTTCCTGTCTGTGTATCTCTATGGACAGCATCATTAGTGATGACATTGGTTGGACAGTAGACACAATAAGACAAAATGCCCTGTGTGCTCTATTGGCTTGCAGGTTCACATACCACTACTTTAAGGGGACTAAATCATGGTGGATCAGGTCCTCTCTCCCTGTATTTATGATCGAACTCCTCTGACTTACTCTCACACCACTCACCTTTACCTTGGCAAGTCTGTAACAAGTTCTGATCATTAAAGCTACTGACAAAGTGTAGGCTGGCTAACCACTTGTGGAGATGTCCCCAACCTGTCATAGACTAATGGTCATCCACGTTGAGGAGATATACTGTATTTATTTTCATAGTTTGAAGTGTCCCCTGTTTCTAAAATACTGAATCTTACTGGCACTGTCAGATTAGAGCACCCAATCAGCATATTGGATTTGTCATCAAAATCAAATGGCCACCCAAGATTGTAAAATGTATTAAAAAAATTATTGATAACTTTACTATGTTATTATCAAATGAGTTATTGGATTATCTATTACTAAATTGTGATTATTTGTTATATTTGGGTAATAATTGCTGACTGCTCATAATTGCCTCCCAAGGGTTTGGAGGATCCATTAATGGAACATGCAGATAAACAGGTGAGATTTGGGCTTCTGAGGTTGGACTTGGCCATCATGAGTGAGTATCCAGGGCTAATGAAGGGGCTCGGTTTAGACATGCATAGTCGAGAGAGCAAACATTACCACTATCTGACCATCCTCTCTTTTGTTCAATCTCCCTCCCTCATCTCCCCTCCCCCTGTTAGTTTCTCTACTTGTTCCTGTTTTAGGAAATAAGAAATAGTCCATGCAATGATATGTATTGGAGCATAAAGTGAGCCTGAAATCTTTGATTGAATAGAGTGAGAACCCCCCCCCCCCCTCTTATTCACTCCTATGGAAGAGTTATTTTAGTCGTACGTGGGTAGGCTGGTTGAGGGACTCTGCACTGCCCGTTGTGGGGGTGCGGAGACCAGTCAGACTGCTTAAGGACCCCCCATCTTCAGTCCGCAGAAGGTCCAAGCAGCCAGTACCATCCGCTGTGGGATGGGACAGGAAGTCAAACTGGTCCTCCTGCGGTTCCAGGTCACAGCCAGTGATGAAAAGGTCAGTCTCGCCCCAGTTGCTAGCGTCGGGGTCGCCATGGGAGTCGTCACTAAAACTGCTACTGTTGCCGAGGGGGGAGGACAGGTTAGGAGGGTTGTCCGCAGATGGCTGGGTGAGGTTGTGTGCCGACAGGGACTTCCCCAGCCCCTGTCCCTGCTCCGAGGGCTCCCCGTCACATCCAGAGGAAAGCACCAGCATGGGGTCCACCTCCAGGCTCATGTGCCTCCTCAAGGGGCCCTCCTCCCTCAAATGGGGCCTTCCCCTCAGCTGCACCCTGCCCCGGGTATGTCCACCCTCTCTGTCCCCCTCCTCTCCATCATCCACCCCGGAGTCCACCACCATAGAGAGGCCTGAGCTCTGCTCCAGCCTACCCCCTCGTGTAGCATCCGGGGTGGGGCTGAGGGGACGTCTTTGCTGGGGGCCCGTGGGGGGCAGCTGAAGGGTGGCAGCACCAGCGGATGGTGGAGGGGGTGGGAGGTCAGGGAAGTGCGCTCGCCTGGGGAAACTACTGGCCGTGGTGAGGAGCGGGTAGGGGCTGTCAGGGGGCAGGAGAGGCGAGGGCGTGAGGGATGCAGTGGAGGCAGGGTAGGAGGGGGGGCAGGTGTTGAGGGTGAGCTCGCTGGGGGCAAGGATGAGCTGGAGGCCCCTGGAGAGATGGTGGCCTGTTGTTGACTGGGACATCCCCCCACCACTTCCATGCCCCCCTCCACCCTCCCCTCCCAGGGGGGAGCCGGAGGACAGGTCCTTGCTGCGGACGGAGCTCTGGTAGTCGGAGGTCTGATGCTCCAGCTCGAACAGGGGCAGGGAGGAGAGGGTGAGGGTAGACGAACCCTTTTGTAACACCTGCCTGTAAACATCCAGCAGAGAGTCCAGTTTTGACTCTATGGATGTCACCTGGCGGAGGGGAGGGGAGAGGGAGAGCGAGAGACATGACCGTTAAAAGCAGCAAGGGTTCACTGCACTTAAAAAATAATCTAGTTGATTCAACTAAATATTATTTAGTGACAGCCTTTTTTAGTTTACTCTACTTTTTGGTCAAAGTGTTACCTGAACTTAAAATGTTTAGTTGGCCCAAACTTAGATCCAACTTCATAAAACTTTGGTTAGCGACACCCACACATTTAAATAGTGCTTTTATCATACAATGTTTTCAACTTACATATTTGACACGTTGACATACTGTACATGATTAGATTGTGCATGTTCCATTATACAGTAATTATTATTCAACAGGTCCTCCCCTGGGATATTGAACTAACAACCACTTGGTTCATGAAATTCCTATCTTCCTGCTACGCCACCATGTCTGTGTCAATGACTGATTTCACCTGTATTCCTACACTTTGCAATTCAAAGTAAATTTCAGCTCTGGTAAAAGTACACACACTACTTTATTTATCATAGTGATTAAGGAGTGACATTAAAACAGAAAATAATTAAATAAGTCAATCAAATCAATGATAGAGAATAGTCAGATTAACTGATATCTGACGCTGTATAAATATGTAAGTTGAAAACATTGTATGTTAAAATGTGTGGGTGTCCCTAACCTAAGTTTTCTCAAGTTGGAACTAAGTTTGGACTAACAAAAAATGTTAAGTTCAGGTAACATTTTGACCGAAAGGTTTAGTAAACTAAAAAAAGGCTGTGTTCCAGTCACAAAATAATTATTAATTGAATCAACTAGATTTTTTTTACAGTGTGTGCAAGAGACACTTCTCTACGAGTACACACAAACTAATGTAATTGGCTTAATTGGTCACCTGTCTTTCCACCTTACACACACGTCCCAGCATACTCATGTCCTGCAGAGTGTCCCCGTCAGGGTGCAGCTTGTCCCTGATCTTCTTGTCCATGGGGATCTGGCCCTTACCCAGTATCTGATCCACCCTGTGATACACACACTTGTCGTATTAATCACAAAAAGTGGACTAATGGGTACATTGCCAGTCACCCCAGCCTCTTCTAAGGGCACTTCACAGCAGGCAACATACCTAACTCTAATGGAAGCATGTCAGTGTTAGAGTTAGTTAGAACAGACACACCATACTATGATTAGATTCATCAACCCACGCTACAGAGTCACAGTTCAAACAACAAACCACAGGCTACAGTTAAAACACAATCATACAGTGTTTCTAAACTACAGCTTCAATCAACTACAGCGCAATCTACAGTGCATGTTAAAAACAACAATCTGCACCAACTAGTAACGACAGCCATTCTCTGTGTTCACAGAAGTTCCATGTTGAGAGATCCTTATTCATTAGCCAATCCTTTGGAGGAGGAACAGTGATTCTGTTAGATTGACAGCTGCATCTTTTCTATGTCCCCTAAGCGCAGCAACATGCAGGATATTTGAGACAGACCTCACATTCATAGCAGCCCACATGAAAAAATATTATAGTATACTATGGTAAATACTATAGTATTCGCTGTAGTGTTTTTTTGCAGACTTTACTGTAGTATTCACTGTAGTGTTTAAAGTCCACAAACACACTACAGTGAATAATATACTGTAGTATACTGTAGTATTTACAGTTAACTATAGTATAAATATTGTAGTAAAATAAAACTGTAGTATATACTATAGTAATTCAAGAAGTGTTTTTGCGGACTGTACTATTTACTGTAGTGTTTTTGCAGACATTAATGTAGTATTTACTATTGTGTTTTTGCTTTATTATCTTTGACATAGAAGTGGAGGCTTTCTCCTTCAGGAAACATGCAGGAGAAATTGCAAATTTTCCATAACCTCTAGGTAGGTAGGACAGAAACCCTGAAACATCTGAAACCCTACCTCTTCAAAGAGTATCTTAAATAATCCCACAGCACCCTCACCACAACCGTGACTTAGGGTTAAGTGCCTTGCTCAAGGGCACATCAACAGATTTTTCATTTAATCGTCTTTGGGATTCAAACCAGTGACCTTTCGATTACTGGCCCAACACTCTTAACCTCTAGGCTACCTGCCGCCCCTACAGTATACTACAGTATATTCTATAGTAAGTACTACACATGATCGAGGGAGACTACAGTGTGTAGTATAGTATTCTACAGTATACTACAGTTTACTATAGAATTCTATAGTAAGTACTTATATTCTATAGTAAACTGTAGTCTTTTTTCATGTGGGAGCTTTACTTTTACCACACATTTGGGGATATGTTACACATGTAACATCCGCTAGGTGAATGCTTCCATTGGTCCATTGGCATTTCCAAACACCTTTATGTCATCAGGGAGTCCAAAGCTTCTAAAACTGGGTTGATTCAGTGAAAGCAGTGTGTCCTTTCTGGTCAATATATACAGAACTATGGTGCTCTAAATCTAAAGATCTAAAAGTGACCGGATAGTGTAAGCAATATGGTAGAAACTCTTGTAGTCCCATTGGAAGCCTGTAGGTTGAGCCATCACCATCTCACCTTTAAACCTATCCTGCCTCTGTAGATCTACAAACACAGGCTTTGTGCTCCCTGATGGACACATGGACATAGCACCATCTCCTTTCAAACTCTGTCCTCTGTGTGAGGAACGGGGGACAGGGTGGAGTTGGGGGTAGTGGCTAGGGGGTCTACGTTATTAGGGGTTGGTGTGGGAGGGGGGTTATCTAACCCTGGGGACTTCATCCCTGGGGCGGACTTCCTCCTGGCCTGGCTGTAATATAATTGCAGGGAGGGGGAGGACATGTTCCCAGGTTTTCTGCTCAGGGTGGGGCCCAGTCCAGTGGCCAGTCTGTATGGGAGAGACATGGGGGTCAGATACAACACACACACACACACATATACACACACACACACACACACACACACTCAAACACTTGAAGTGTAGCAAAAAAGGACAACTACAGGCACCACGTATGTACGAGCTACACGCACATTCTTTAAAACCAGACTAGACTACCACTACTAGAATCAACTACTAAACTACAATCTTTATAAAGTCACACATAGAGATGCATGTGGGGGGTGGGGGGGTTGCCTAACCCTGGGACAGACTTCGTCCCTGGCATGGACTTCCTCCTGTCCTGGTTGTAATATAAGTGCAGGGAGGGAGAGGAAAAGGTCTTGACCCTGGGGCTCAGCAGCTGCTGCTGAGGAGGACCCACTATGGTGTCCAGCCTGGGAGGAAGAGGTACATAGGAGGGTCATATACACACACATACAAACACACACACACACACACACAGAGACAGACAGACAGACAGACAGACAGACAGACAGACAGACAGACAGACAGACAGACAGACAGACAGACAGGCAGGCAGGCAGACAGACAGACAGACAGACAGACAGACAGACAGACAGACAGACAGACAGACAGACAGACAGACAGACAGACAGACAGACAGACAGACAGACAGACAGACAGACAGACAGACAGACAGACACGTGAATTAAGTGGATAAGGTGAACATAGATATGAAGGTGTGTGTGTTTATGTGTCTGTCTGTCTGTGTGTGTGTGTGTGCGCATCTCACCTAGTCTGTAGACTCTTGATTCTGCAGAGCATATCCAGGTGTCCTGCAGAGTACTGCTCTATCACATCCTTCACATCGTACGGACGCAGAGTCTCCTTAAACTTCTTCTTTGCTACATGAAACTTCATGATCCTGAGTGGAAAAGAGGTGAGAATCAAACAGAATCATGTCATTGTGGCAACTACTTCAACTACCTCAACTAGCCGGTGCCCCCGCACATTGACTCTGCACCGGTACCCCCCTGTATATATACCCTCCCTACTGTTATTTTATTTTACTTCTGCTCTTTTTTTCTCAACACTTACTTTTTTGTTAAAAAATAAATGCACTGTTGGTTAAGGGCTGTAAGTAAGCATTTCACTGTAATGTCTGCACCTGTTGTATTCGGCGCATGTGGCCAATAAAATTTGATTTGATTTGGGATGTAGCTCAGTTGGTAGAGCATGGCGTTTGCAACGCCAGGGTTGTGGGTTTGATTCCCACGGTGGGCCAGTATGGAAAATAAAAAATAATGTATGCACTCACTAACTGTAAGTCGCCCTGGATAAGAGCGTCTGCTAAATGACTTAAATGTAAATGTAAAATGTAAAATTTGATTTGATTTGATCTAGCTGTCATCTCTTTGTCAGCCACTAGAGGGCAACAACAGCTTAACTACACATAAACCAGTATGTTCGCAAGAAGCTGACAGTTGTCACTTTAGCCTTTACCTTTTGTTTTCGGAGCATAGGTAAAATAAACATTACTCAGATACTTTCACAAGAACATTATGAAACCTTAGCAGATGTCATGTCAACAAAACCTGACTGAGCTATTTTGAAACCCAACCACGCTAGAATTGTATTATACCTCTACCTTAATGTACAAGTACAGCTACTGCTGAGTGAATAATATTGATGCAGGTATGTGGCTCTCTACAGTTGATTCATTCTGACCCCCTAATGGTTCCAGAACTGCTTTAGTTGCTCACTATCCTCACTGTATAAATGGAAACCATCATGACAGATGAGCTGCTGTAATAACAGTTCTGACTGAGAGGGTGTCAACCCGACACCCTGGGAAAGCCAGGGGCACGTCTCTACTCCCACTGCCCACAGAGGGGGCCTGCTTAGCAAGCAGGCTGGGCAAAGGGAGAGGGGGTCCTCTGGAGCAACAACCTGTGGATGGGAATTGGGGTGTTGGCAGACAATCAAAATAGGACATCTTTCGACACCGTTAGAGAGAGGTGGGGGAGATGGAGAGTTAAAGGGAATGGGAAAAAGAGGGAGTGGAGGGAGAGAGGGAGGGGATTGAGGTTCGACGGAAGGACGACGTTAGAGAGAGTGAGGGGAGATGGTGGGGGGGGGGTAGGGAAATGGAAGGAGATAGAGGGAGGGAGGGGAGAGAGAGAAGAGGTGAAAGGAGAGGGGAGGGAGAGGGAGAGGGGGGGAGGGAGGGGGGAGAGGGAGAGGGGGGGGAGGGAGGGAGAGGGTGAAGGAGAGGAAGGGAGAGGGGGTGAGGAGAGGAGAGGGTGAGGGAGAGGGAGAAGGGAGGAGAGGGAGAGGGGGATGAGGGAGGGAGAGGGAGGTGGGGGAGGGAGGGAGAGGGTGAAGGAGAGGAGGAGGGGTGAGGGAGGGAGAGGTGAAGGAGAGGAGAGGGGGTGAGGGAGGGAGGGGAGGGGAAGGAGGGTGAGCGGGGTGGTGAGGAGGGGAGAGGGGTAAGGAGAGGGAGGGGGGGGAGGGAGAGGGATGAAGGAGAGGAGAGGGGGTGAGGGAGGGAGGGGGGGAAGGGAGGGAGAGGGGGTGAGGGAGGGAGAGGGTGAAGGGAGGGGGAGGGGGGGGAGAGGGAGAGGGGAAGGAAGGATGAGTGAAGAGAGGGAGAGGGGGGTGAGGGAGGAGGGGAGAGGGTGAAGGAGAGGGAGAGGGGTGAGGGAAGAGGTGAAGGAGAGGGAGAGGGGGGAGGGAGGGAAGGTGAGAGGAGAGGGTGAGGAGGGAGAGGGGTGAAGGAGAGGGAGAGGGGAAGTGAGGGAGGGAGAGGTGGGTGAGGGAGGAGAGGGGTGAAGGAGAGGGAGAGGGGGTGAGGGAGGGAGAGGGTGAAGGAGAGGGAGAGGGGGTGAGGGAGGGAGAGGGTGAAGGAGAGGGAGAGGGGGTGAGGGAGGGAGAGACAGTACCAGTATGGTGGCCACATGAGTAAACAAAGACATGTTGCCGGTGGCAGAGTGAGTAAGGGGCCAGCTGTAACAGCCCCCCAAACTGTTCTCCCTGACCCATCACTGGGTTAGCAGAATCCCTTGAAGCACTCACAATCTCACGTCAGAATTAGACGTTCATCCATGGTTCTCAAACGTCAAATTTCGGAGTTCTTCCAAACGTCAAATTTTTGCACGTTAGGGTGAAGTTCAGGCATTAACTCCAAATTCTTAAGGTTAGGCATTGACTCCAAATGGTTAAGGTAGGGGTTAAGGTTTGGGTTAGGCTTAAAACTAAAATATCAAAAACAACTTTCTATCTCTGAATTCAAACTTGCAACCTTTGGAATCAGAGGCAGATGCTTACGCCCATCCCAAACAGGAACCTACTTCAAGGTGACAGTGCCCACTGTTGCCCCTAGTGGCCGGTTTCTACGTTATCTCCCGACATCCTCAGACATGGATGGACGTCGAATACTGACTTGTATCACGGGTGACCGGGCTGAAGCACTCACCTGACGGCTCTGATGACAGCCTTCAATGGAGCTGATAGGTCCTCCACGGTGACATCACAGTGGCAAACCCTGTCGCCGAATGCGTCATCATTCCCCATTCCTGTGTCCACTGAGAGACAGAAAAGGGGGTTGTGTCAAGTTAACTGGTCTCTCATACTGCCATGGCCAACTAGTCAGATTCCAACTGGCTCTTTCAACCCGTCACCATTGCAAGTCTTCCCCAGGTCATAATTATAAAATAGAATGCATTCTCAACCCACTTGAGGTGCTAAATTAAAGATGACCAAATAAATAAATAAACCTTCCTTACAGACTTCAGCGCCAAGCTGAAACTCAACAATATAATATTTATTTATATTTTTTCCTCAAATCAAAATTGGATCTCTAGCAGTGAAGACTGCTGAGGGGAGGACGGCTCATATTAATGGCTGGAACAGAGCAAATGGAATGGCATCAAACCATGTGTTTGATGTATTTGATACCATTCCACTTTTTCTGCTCCTGCCATTACCACGAGCCCGTTCTCCCCAATTAAGGTGCCACAAACCTCCAGTTAACTCTAGGAATAGTCACGATTTGCCAGCTCAGCTGTTTCCCGTATGTGTAGTGATTGAAGGATGCATACATCGTCTAGTCAATAATATGAGCGCAGTCTGAGAGTTTCTCAGGTCTGATTTATTGTTAGGATAGGTGTCCTGCAGAGGACAGATAAACTACACAGTGAGAGGCAGGGCGACAGAAACAGGGAACTGCTCAGTCAAGCACCTTCCTTCTCTATTAGAAGGTTACATACAGCTTGACTTCTCTGTTCCAATAGAGGTTTATATACAGTATGGCAGTGGACTGGACCTCCATATGTCATGTTGGAGGTTATTGGAACTTCTGTTGAATGTAAGTCGTGACTCTACCCTTGTGGACTTCTTATAAAACACATACCGTATACACACACACGCACACAGAAACCCACACATACTCTCCACTCACCCTCGGAGGGCGTGGTGCGTGATTGGCTCTTGAGGCGTAAGGAGGGTCTAAAGCGGGTACGGTCGTTGAAGCTCCAGCTCTTCTGCACCTTGGTAGGGCTGCTGCCCGTCTCAGCGCCCGCCACATCGTTGCCCGGGGAACAGCGCCGGTCGTTGTTGATGGACGTCTGGCGGCTCTTCATGCTCTGGCCGCGAGGGCTTGCCATCCGTACCCGCTCCTTAAAGCTCAACTTCGTACTAGAGAGAGAGAGAGAGAGAGAGAGAGAGAGACACTGTCATTATGCATTCCACCTGAGAAAGAAAAATGTGTGCAGACAGAGCACACTCACAGTGTAGTGCAGTGAACTGTCCTTTCCTCAAACCCAAACATGCTTACCTCATCCACAACACACTTAGAGTACCCCATCTGCTCTCTAAGAGAGTGGTCCCTAACCCACGGTCCTGAGGAACTACAGATATAGAATCTTAAATAGATCTAGTTTGCTACAGCAGGAAAATAATCCTGCAGCAACAGGAAATGTGAAATGTGTGGATTATAAATAATGGAAAATCAAGTCTGAAATTTCAAAATGGAAAATACAAACCTCAGAAGCCTTTTTAAACTTCAAATACACTACACGTGAAAAGTAATCCTGCAACAGGGTGATCAAATTAAGATCCTACATCTGTATAGGATGTGCATGCTTTTGCTCCAGCCCAGCACTAAAGCAGCTGAATCAGCTGGGTGGAAACAGAAGTCTACACTCTTAGAAAATAAGTTGCTGCCTAGAACCATAAAGTGTTCTTTACTGTCCCTACTTCCAAGTGGAACCCTTCACTAACACAAGGTTCTACGTTGAACCCTTTCACCACTAAAAGGGTTCTACCTGGAACCAAAAAGGGGTCTCCTATGGGGACAAATGAATCAGCCTTTTTTTTATATGAGTGTACACACCTTGTAGCTCTCTAGGACCTATAACTCTTGTGGACTAGTTTTGTAGAGAGCAGTTGCAGTAGTATGACACTGACCACTCTTCTAAGACAAAGAAAATTACCAGGGAACACTGCAAGACTTACAATTCATACTGATGCATAGAATCACTGTTCCTACTACTTAAACTGTAGGCTACTATCTCAGTATCTCTAGGACACTTAGATCTGTATTGTGCCGGTGGGCCTGTGCTTAGACGTACTGTAGATTTATAGGCGGGTGGGGGGGGTGCAGAGAGCCTCTACCTGAAACACACCCTAAACCCCCCCTGCCATGGCAACCGGACAAGCATGCAATGCTGTGGATCAATCAGATGGTGTGACAGCAGGCCCAATGCTCAGGCTTGATTCTGCAGGCACCAATGATCAGTGAGCCAACTCCCAGATTCAGACTAAAGTTTTTGTGGAAACTTCAGGAGGGAATATCGCGCTCCAGTAACGATAAGGAAGTTATTAACGATAACATGGACCTTGCCCAAGCCTAGGTTAATGAAGATGCATCAGTGCAGTGTGATCAAAGTTCAGTCATGGTGGTGAATTCATGCAGTGGCACCATGCAGCCAAGCTGAGGGACCTCAGCAGACCAATGGAGATCGAGATGGACCGTAGATTTCAGACATTAAGGACTGTATTAAGAATTCAGATTTCTACACACAGAACTACTTCCGATACCCAGGGGGACCAGGATACAGTTAGTTAGGGGTTGTGTCTGATAAGGGGATCCACGGGAGGTGGGGGTCAAAACCAACAGGCAACAGGTAACAGGCAGCAATCCCATTAGACAAGCAAAGGGCAAATACAATGGTTTTATTGAAGGGGTGACAGTTTGGGGGTTCTCTCGTCATCCTCCATGCACCTGGCAGTTAGTCAGCATTCCCAGAGATCATGTGACCAGGGAGGAGCGGATGCTGGGTATTGAGTACCTCCTACATTTCCTTCTGAAGCGCCTCCTATTACTATGACCCTTACTACGGGGGTAGGGAGGAAGACAAATAGAGGAGGAAAGGGTTAACACACCATGGAGTAGGAAAGGGAGGGAGGAGAGACATCTGTACGGTCAATACTGTCAGAAGTATAAACGGGCGATTATGTATCTCACATTCTATGTTGTCAGTGCTGAAGTATAAATATAACTGGTGATTATATAACTCACATACATTTAGCTCTAGGCCTAGGAGTTTAAATAAAAAATATGAAGGTTAATTTATGGTGGTTATGTCCTTAGACTCTACACTCTTAGAAAAAAAGGTGTTATCTAGAACCTAAAAGGGTTATTCGGCTGTCCCCATAGGATAACCCTTTGAATAACCCTTTTGGTTCCAGGTAGAACCCTATTGGGATACATGCAGAACCCTTTCCCCAGAGCGTTCTACATGGAACCCAAAATATTTCTACCTGGTACTAAAAAGGGTTCTACCTAGAATCAAAAATGGACAGCCGAAGAACCCATTTGGAACCCTTTTTTCTAAGAGTGTAGAAGTCAGAAGTCATAAATTGTGAAGAAAATATTCCAAAAGAGCAGAATAATCAGTCTCATACTCTCACACCTATACCCGTATGCACACACACACACACACACAGACAGACACACACGCACACACAGACACACGCACACACAGATGCACACACAGACACACACACAAACACACAGACACACAGACACACACACACACGCACACACAGACACAGACACACACACACACAGTGTTTAGCTGGTTGAGTTTATAAGTCTGTTTTACCAAACTAATTTGCTACTATAAAGCAACTAATAACATTATCTAAGTTCTCAACCCTTGATGTGAGCGATGCTTAAGAAACATTTAATTATACAGCTAATTGTATGGTATAAATTTGAGTGCATGAAAAGATGGGGTGTAATTATGATTTCAAAAGCTCTTGCCTAATTGACTAAACCACAACAGAAGTTATTTGAGAAGCCAATGAAAGCATACAAAACCCCATGACTTCTAACAGCTTGGAGAATTAGCAGAGAATGACAGTTTGGTGGTGTGTGTGTGTGTGTGTGTGTGTGTGTGTGTGTGTGTGTGTGTGTGTGTGTGTGTGTGTGTGTGTGTGACTGCGTGTGTGCTATGCATATGTCTCTCAACATAAAATCCACATTTATAAAAGCTGCACTGGCATGACATGAGGAATCCACCGTTGCCAAAGGAGCACTGTATTGTAAAAACAATAACCAAAAATCATAATTAAAGTCACAAATCTCTCTGTCTCTCCCTCCTCCTCTCCTTGTCTCTCCGCCTGCCGACTGAGACTGGTGTTTGATGAGTTATATAAATACCCTTGGAATGGAAAAAGCACGTCATGGTGCAGACATGGTACAGACGCCGGTTTGCACATAACACACACATATCGTAGAAACACACACACTCAATCCCATACAGTGTAGAAACACACACAAACTCTCACACACACACACACAGTAAGCATAGAAACACACTCAGATACTCTCTAAAACACACAAACACGGCAGAGACAGAGAGAAACGACCGGTAGTGCATTCATGGTGGCTTGGAGAGGTGCTCTGAGAGACAGAGACTGATACACTAGAGACCCCTCTCTCAAACCAGGACATTGACTTCCATAGCACTGTTGATTTTCATTCTTCCCCTCTAACAAGGGACTGATTCTGACCTGGGACACCCTGGTGATTGGAAGCTCTGGCCAAACAGTGACTTTCAAAACAATTTGAAAACAAGGGTTCAGTATCAACACAAACAGCATATGACTTCTTATTAGAGTGAATGTCATTGAATAAACCATTGCGCGATGTGTGTAGAGGCGAGAGCTACAAACCTGCTAGTTGTCTCGCCCTGTTCTTTCCTTTAGGTGTTAGTGAGAAAAGAGGAGAGAGAGACAAGGGAAGAGACATCAGTAGTTAATGACAGAGTCTACAGGGTCTCCCACAGGGACAGCGAGATGAAGATGAAGGTCAGCTAGCTTCATAACATCCTCTCTGTGTGTGTCGCATGCGAGACATGATGTCAGAACATAAACACAAACAGTCAGGCATGAAGAACACAAACTACCACAGTCAAAGCCTTGTGAAAGATAAATGTTGTCAGCTAGTTGTCAGCAGAACATTGCAGCAGGTACACATGCAAGCGATGGCTGTGCCACATGACCGGGCTAGGAAAGCACTGGCAAACAGAGATAGGAGATAGAAAGGTGTGTGTGTGTGTATTTCTGTGTAATTGTGATTGAATAAGCAGATGTCTGTGTTTGTGCCCACACTGTATGTAGACCTACAGAGGGTATGTGTGTGTATGTTTGCATGAGAGCGGGTGAGTGTGCAATAAAGCAGGTGGTCCAGACAATATTACCAGGCTCCTCTCCTGTGCCCTTAAACACACCCTAAAGCCTTCAGAGAAAACATGGATGTAATTTCTGGACAAGATAAGTTGGAAAATGTTTGTTTATACACTCTGTTTTACTTTCCATGTTTAAATGAATTAGTGAAAGCAAAGTATGTACGTTTGGTTCTTTGTGTGTGGGCGCCTGGAAATATTAGACTATTTGATGACTGTGAGCCTTCAAAAAAATGACTGTAAAAGTACTGTAACCAAAACAAGTATCCAGTTACAATAATAACAAAATAAGTATACAGAGGAATGTCAAAAGTAGTTGCTGAGCTGATTAAACTCAAAAAGTGACCGACCACTAAAAAAGCAGAGAAGGAAATTGTGAAAAAAGCTAGAAGAGCACAGAGGAAGAGAGCAGAGCAGAGCAGCAGCCATACTTTAGTTGTTACCTACTTTGCAGGACTGCAGGTATGCAACGCCTTCAAATGAGGCTTCCAGGTAGCTATGGAAACCGAGTTCTCATCAGCAGCATAACTACGCCAGACACACTACGTGCAGTCAACAGAAAACAAAAGAAAAACAAAAAGACAGAGGAGGGAGGAGGGAGAAGGGGGAGACATGTTTTGTAAGACAAGGCCAGAGGGAACGGAGGAGGGAGGAAGGGAGGGAGGAAGGGAGAAAGAAAGGAAAGAGAAAGAAAACAAAAAGAGAGTGATTAGTAAAACTGTCAAGGCATCATGGGGCAGGGGGAGGGGGGGATACATGCCTGAAGGGGGAGAGGGCACCCTGGTAGTGCTGCCACGTGGCACTGAGGTAGGGACGGGCATCATCGGTGGAGTAGAGACGCCAAGCCGCCTGGGGTACGAGTTGACACACGCAGACAGACATACATCGATGGGAGGAATGGCAACATGGTGAGGAGATAGGGTACACGTAATCATAAACACATAGAGGTGCACAACACATACACAGACAGACACACACATACAGTACACTGAACAAAAATATAAAAGCAAAATGCAACAATTTCAAAGATTTTACTGAGTTAAAATTCACATAAGGAAATCAGTCAATTGAAATAAATAAATTAAGCCCTAATCTATGGATTTTACATGACTGGGAATACAGATATGCATCTGTTGGTCACAGATACCTTAAAAAAGGTAGGGGCGAAGATCAGTCAGTATCTGGTTGACCACCATTTGCCTCATGCAGCGCGACACATCTCCTTCACATAGAGTTGACCAGGCTTTTGATTGTGGCCTGTGGAATGTTGTCCCACTCCTCTTCAATGGCTGTGTGAAGTTGCTGGATATTGGCGGGAACTGGAACACGCTGTCGTACACGTCGATCCAGAGCATCCCAAACAAGCTCAATGAGTGACATGTCTGGTGAGTATTCAGGCCATGGAAGAACTGGGAAATGTTCAGCTTCCAGGAATTGTGTACAGACCCTTGCGACATGGGGCCGTGCATTATCATGCTGAAACATCAGGTGATGGCGGCGGATGAATGGCACGACAATGGGCCTCAGGATCTCGTCATGGTATGTCTGTGTATTCAAATTGCCATTTATAAAATGCAATTGTCTTCATTGTCCGTAGCTTATGCCTGCCCATACCATAACCCCACTGCCACCATGGGGCACTCTGTTCACAATGTTGACATCAGCAAACCGCTCGCCTACACAGCACCATACACGCTGTCTGCCATCTGCCCATTACAGTTGAAACCGGGATTCATCCGTGAAGAGTATACTTCTCCAGCGTGCCAGTGGCCATCAAAGGTGAACATTTGCCCACTGAAGTCGGTTACGACGCCGAACTGCAGTCAGGTCAAAACCCTTGTGAAGAAAAGGAGCACGCAGATGAGCTTCCCTGAGATGGTTTCTGACAGTTTGTGCAGAAATTCTTCGGTTGTGCAAACCCACAGTTTCATCAGCTGTCCGGGTGGTTGGTCTCAGACGATCCCGCAGGTAAAGAAGATGGATGTGGAGGTCCTGGGCTGGCGTGGTTACACGTGGTCTGCGGTTGTGAGGCCGGTTGGACGTACTGCCAAATTCTCTAAAACGACAATGGAGGAGGCTTATGGTAGAGAAATAAGCTTTTTGTGAGTATGGACAATTTCTGGGATGTTTAATTTCAGCTCATGAAACATGGGACCAACACTTTACATGTTGCGTTTATATTTTTGTTCAGTATAAATACAAAGGGCACACAATAGCGAAAGACAAGCACAAACAAACAACAGAGATAACACATCCCTGCCAACTGCAGATGTACTGGATGTCTGTCTGTCGAGAAAAAATATCTGGTCAGGAGAAGTGTTGAGTTCCACATCAACTCAGCCATACCATACAGATAGTATAAATAGAGTACAATGCAAAATGAGTTGGCTGTTTGCAGGCCTTAAAGCAGTGGAAAAGGGAGCTAAATTGAATATATGAATCAAACGAGTAGCCTAATCGTTTTTTCTGCTTGATGGTAAAATATCTATAAAAACAAGATCTGTGTGTTTGTTTTGTGGAGTTCATTGTCTATGTTAAGATGATTGTGTATTGTAAAAGTCCAGGTCTTGTCTGTTAGGATGAGCTTTGGCGTAGAGGTAAATCCACCCTGGGAATAGCTCTGGTGGAAACAGCTCATAAATATCAGCCCTGTATTGCCTTTGGACCTGAGAGAGGACAAAGAGTCTCAGCCACGGTTAGATATCAACTACACACACACTCGCACACAAACACACACTCACATACACTCACTCACACACTCTGACACAAACGCACACATGCATGTTTTCACACACACACATACACATACTGTATACTGTATACACACACACTCTGAAACAAACACACACGGGCACTTTCACATACGCACACACACACGCACACACACACACACACACACACACACAGAACAGTTAAATCATATCTGGTGATGGACTTGTGTGAGTGTGTGTTGTGTACCTGGATGAGGCTGGCTGCTGGGTTCCTCCTCTTCTCAAAGTGTTTTTGTCTGTGCTGCTCCTGTACCTTCAGGGCAAAGCCTGAGCCCAGGATACCCTGCACACACACACACACACACACACACACACACACACACAATGGACCACGTTCAATCACTCAACGTCAAATTGTGTGTGTGCGTGTGTGTGTGCATGTGGGTGTGTGTGTGTCTCACGGCAGGCAGGGCGAAGAAGGAGATTCCCATCAGAGCAAAGCCAGCTGAGATCAGACGACCCGTCCATGTCTGAGGAGTCTTGTCTCCATAGCCAATGGTCGTCAGGGTGATCTGTTCAGACACATCAACATCACAGAGTTCAGAGGTCACAAAACAATTGTCCCAAAATACCGGTTTGTAGTATTTTGGGTCAATTCCATTTTCAATTCAGTCAATTCAGGTAATGAAATGTACTTCCTGAATAGAAAAACCCACTGTATAAAGCTATTGAGGACCAGAATTGAATAACACTGCACTTTTGTATGTGTTGTGTATTTCAGTGACCCCCTTTCTCTTCCTGTCCCTGTCTCCCCTTGCACATCTAATAGCCCAGTCTCACCTGACAGACACTGGAAATTACATTCATCGATTGGGTCATTTTAGCGGGTCTGAAGCCGTGGGCATTCATTATTTGTGTTGACATTGTTTAAGGTCTAGCAAGTAGTGCCTGGGAGTTGTTTGAAGACCAGCCAAGCATGAGCTTGTAGCTCTGTCATGCCAAGATGTCATTAAGGTGTCTTAAGGTCATATTATTGACTGGTCGGCACATCCAGTAATGATCATAAAGCTACTCTTTCTTTGTTCTTGTTTTCTTGTATCTGCTTATTAAACTTCAGTCCTGTGCATATTAGTATGGGCTATGTTGAAACATATTGATCAATCTAAATTGAGTATGTTTATGTGTGGAGTGTGTGTGTGTGTGTGTGTGTGTGTGTGTGTGTGTGTGTGTGTGTGTGTGTGTGTGTGTAGACTCACCGTGCCCCACCACAGAGCATCGGCATATGTGGCAAAGTCTTTGTTGAACTCCTTCTCCACAAGGTAGACCAGGAACGAAGAGAAGATGAGCACCAGGAACCCAATGTACCAGGCTGTCACCAACTCCTATAGGAAATCAATGATTATGCTTAAACAAAAACATAAAAACTCACTGTTTTTGTTGTGTAACCTAATAGCAACGAGGTCTTCAACCCCTAAAGATCAAGTTGAAGTGACAGTGACAAGGAAAAATTCACTAAGAAGAACTTGAGAGGAACCAGATACTAGTGGGGGAGCACATCCTCCTATTCTTTGAAGAAGGTCAGAGTACATAGGACCTTCTAGGCCAGACTGTTGGACTACAAACATGGTTGTACCTTACTGTGTGCATAGACTACAGATCCCAGTAGTTTCCAGGTGCCCCCTCTGCGGTCCATACGCACCATCCGCAGGATCTGCAGGAAGCGAAGGCTACGCAATGCTGAGGTGGCAAAGATGTTACCTTGGCTACCAGCGGACACCACAGCAATGGAAGCTATGAGGACAATTATGTCTGGAAAGAGACAGAAAGAGATAAAGGGTTGGAGGAAAGCACCCAAACCAACTTCAATACTTTTGCAGTAAACTTCCATGAGAGGCTAATGATAATGTATTGCAGTGCATATGAGTGTTACACGCGATACAATTACATGTTCCAAACTTGTTTTGAATCAAGTGGAGAGTTAAGGATTTGAAATGGTATGGTAGTTTTGGGTAACATCTCCACGTTTCAGCTCTGTGAAAATGTCCCCCACTCAGCAGGCTGTTGGTGCCCAACACCAGAGAGAGTAGAGGGGTGTTGATCAAACTGTGTTGATCTGGAGCTCTGAGACTGGTTAAGAAAATAGACACAGTGTACTGTAGGAGTCATCACATGGATCTAATGTACCTAGTATTCACTTTCACACAATCAGAGGAGAAAGGAGAGAGTGTGAGAGATAGATAAAGGGAGAATGAGAGGGGTAAAGAGGGTTCACACAAACCCACATCCTTAGGGCCACACTGAAGAACATAAAACTACTGCTCCTACAGTACACTGGGATAATAGTGTGTTTCGCTCCAATTCACATCAATCACATTTAAAACTTTGAAACTCTAACCGTGGCTGGTTTTAGTATTCTCTATTGAGAGAAGAAACAGATAGTGATCTATGTTCTTGTAAACTGTATTTATCCTTCTTTTCTGAGAACTCAATGCCAGCTTCTTTTTGTGTACTGAAGTACATTATCTGTCAATCAGAAATCAGCCTTGAATATTGACATTCATTTTAATTATTTTTATTTTACCCACCTTTTTCTCCCCAATTTCAATATTGTCTCATCGCTGCAACTCCCCAACGGGCTTGGGAGAGGCGAAGGTGGAGTCATGCGTCCTCCGAAACATGACCCACCTAACCGCGCTCCTTAACACCCGCCAGCTTAACCCGGAAGCCAATATGTCGAAGGAAACACTGCTCAACTGGCAACCGGGGTCAGCCTGCAGGCACCCGGCCCGCAACAAGGAGTCGCTAGGGTGCGATGAGCCAAGTAAAGCCCCCCCCGGCCAAACCCTCCCCTAACCCGGACGATGCTGGGCCAATTGTGGCACAGCCCGGGAATTAACCTGGTTCTGTAGTAACGCCTCTAGCACTGCGATGCAGTGCCTTAGACCGCTGCGCCACTCGGGAGGCCGAATATTGACAGTCTTGATGATCATTTCTCAACAACAAGAGCTCATAGCTTCCTTTTGAAATTCAACGTATTATGGATGAACGTCTATTTTTAACGCATTACAGGGTTAAAACAGAAACAACTCAAAGGTTAACAGTTTAGGCATTTATTCTGAGTGGTTAAGGTTAGGGCTATGGTTTGGGGATGGCTCCGCAAACCAACCGCCGCTGTTTCCATCAAGTACCATGAAGTATTCTCACGGCTTGCTAGAGCATTGTGAACTGCCGTAGAGCAGTGGTATGAGCAGCGTGCTTTCTGCTTTGGCTCTGAGCATCAGTTTGCGCCCAGAGTAGGGCAATCATTTTTCTTTCTTTGTGAGTGCCGAGGAAGGCATATATCGACATCAGGACCTTTTCAAATGTCTAAATCGAAGTCTATTTCTAGTGGTCAGGCTGCATCTCTTGGTGGAGTGATAGGGCCTTTGCAGTGAAGCACACAGACGCACACACACACACACACACACACACACACACACACACACACACACAGTTACCTATGACACAGAAGGGTTTCCTGGCAAAGCGGAGGCGTCCTTGCCATCCCCTGTAGCGACAGCAGCAGCCTGCGCTCCATATCCTGATGATGTACTCCAGCCCAAACACCACGATCATCACAAACTCCTACAGGACACGCACGCACACACACACACACACACACACACACACACACAGTCACAGCCCATTATTGTGTATCAAGAGGTGAGGGGAGAAACTTCAATATGCTGTAAATACCAGACAGTATAAATATAAAAGCCAACGATTAATAATGATATTCCAATTATCAATATACAGATGTCGGATCTTCATTTGACCCTTTCTGTAGCAGGAGGATAATAATCCTGCAGCAGTAGGATTTGGATGAATATTAAATATTTAGAATCGCCTCCAGAGGACAGCTGGAAGCGGTGTTTGCAGGCTATACAATAACTTAGACTGCAGGTCCACTGGGTGTCAATTCAAGTAACCGATGTAGGCTATGTGCAGGCTACAGCTCGTCTTGTGTGCATTCTCATGTGGATAATAATCATATTTGTAGGGGGTAGATGTATTTTTCGTTAGGGAAAATCAGTTTCTTTAGATAAATCGTTTTATTATATGTTCAAGGAAAGCAATAGACCGAATAAATGATTGGTTACCTCAGTGCCTGTGTGGTCCAGCAGTTACAGCCACTGACCCTGGCACATACACTACCAGTCAAAGGTTTGGACACACCTACTCATTCAAGGGTTTTTCTTTATTTTTTACATTGTAGAATAATAGTGAAGACATCAAAACTATGAAATAACACATATGGAATCATGTAGTAACCAAAAAAGTGTTAAACAAATGTAAATATATTTTATATTTTATATTCTTCAAAGTAGCCACCCTTTGCCTCGATGACAGCTTTGCACACTCTTGGCATTCTCTCAACCAGCTTCATGAGGTAGTCACCTGGAATGCATTTAAATCAAAAGGTGTGCCTTGTTAAAAGTTAATTTGTGGAATTTCTTTCCTTCTTAATGCGTTTGACACAATCAGTTGTGTTGTGACAAGGTAGAGGGGGTATACAGAAGATAGCCCTATTTGGTGAAAGACCAAGTCCATATTATGGCAAGAACAGCTCAAATAAGCAAAGAGAAACGACAGTCCATCATTACTTTAAGACATGAAAGTCAGTCAATATGGAAAATTACAAGAACTTTGAAAGTTTCTTCAAGTGCAGTCGGAAAACCATCAAGTGCTATGATGAAACTGGCTCTCATGAGGACCGCCACAGGAAAGGAAGGCACAGAGTTACATCTGCTGCAGAGCATAAGTTCATTAGAGTTACCAGCCTCAGAAATTGCAGCCCAAATAAATGCTTCACAGAGTTCAAGTCACAGACACATCTCAACATCAACTGTTCAGAGGAGACTGTGTGAATCAGACCTTCATGGTCGAATTACTGCAAAGAAACCACTACTAAAGGACACCAATAAGAAGAAGAGACTTGCTTGGGTCAAGAAACATGAGCAATGGACATTAGACCGGTGGAAATCTGTCAAAATTTGAGATGTTTGGTTCCAACCGCCATGTCTTTGTGAAACGCAGAGTAGGTGAACGGATGATCTCCGCATGTGTGGTTCCTACCGTGAAGCATGGAGGAGGAGATGTGATGGTGTGGGGGTGCTTTGCTGGTGACACTGTCTGTGATTTATTTAGAATTCAAGGCACACTTAACCAGCATGGCTACCACAGCATTCTGCAGCGATACGCCATCCCATCTGGTTTGCGCTTAGTTGGACTATAATTTGTTTTTCAACAGGACAATCACCCAACACACCTCCAGGCTGTTTAAGCTAACTAGTTAGTTTTGGCTAACCCAGAATCTGACAGACAAAGTTGAATCTCCTGTTTTTCGTTCCCATATGATCTCTGCTTGTTGGCTAACTACCCACCTTGTCATTGGCATAAAGAGTGAACAGATTAATCAGATGTGTGTGGAAATAGCTAAACTGCTATCACATTAAGTTGCCACAAGATAAGCTGGCTAAGATAGCTAGCTACAGTGTCATCCATGTAGCTAGCTAACATTAACTAGATCAACTGGTCACTCCAGCGCAGCATCCTCCCACTCCATTGCTCTCTCTCACTCTCTTCTTCTTCTCTGGTATAATGGCGTTCGCATCAATTGGATGTGCATTCCGCCACCTAATGTGCAGCTGGATAATAAGGATCCCAAAAAATATTCATACAAACTATCAAAACATACATTTTAACTAAACAAAATCAACCTTATTTTCTGTTAAATTCCTAAATTAGAATCTGGTCCCTACACAGGCTCAGAAGGATCCTGTGAGGGCCGAACATTTTCTGGCGACAATAGTCCTTGCATACCCCATTCATAGACGCTAACTGTTTAAGCGCATATTGACGATGGTATCTTCTGACCGGGGAGTTTTGTTAAGAGCCCCGATGCTAGTCTAACATTAACAAGCATCGCTTGCGGTACATTTTTGGAAACATAAGGAACGTATCCTTCATATCAGCCATAAATCATTTTCAAAAAACAAAAGGTTAAATTGATACACACCTTTATAGGGTTAGTGTTAGTGTTCCCACACGGCCATATCTCCATGTTACAACGCGTGTTTATGGAAGACAGAGGGACCACCTGTGCTAATTAGCTATCTAGTGTGCGCCGAACACCTGTCAGTAACGGAAGAAGGCCGCCAGAAACGTGTTGTCACTTAAAGATACTGTCGGTTGCAACTTTGATAAAGCCAGTTAAAACAGTGCACAGTAAGTGTATATTTTGCATTTGTGAAATTATTTTGATGTGTTATGAAAGTAAAGGGCTTTATCTTTCTAGAACCGTATCGCAATTGAGAATCGATTCATGTTTAGATGGAGTATTTGGCAGCCAGAGCCAGTCTACTTCTGAAAATAACATATTCATAGGCTGCACCTCCGTCACTCGGTCGTGTCATGTTATTGTTATGAACGTTCTCAAGCCGCGCTCTATCGGCGGCGCCATAGTGGTGCCTTAAAGTGTTCCTCTGTAGCTCAATTGGTAGAGCATGGCGCTTGTAATGCCAGGGTAGTGGGTTCGATTCCCATGGGGGACCAGTATGAAAATGTATGCACTCGCTAACTGTAAGTCGCTCTGGATAAGAGCGTTGACAAAAATGTAAAATGTAGAATGGCCTTACTGAATAGCTCAGTGACTTTCAACGTGGCACGGCCATAGGATGCCACCTTTCTAACAAGTCAGCGTCAAATTTCTGCCCTGCTAGAGCTGCCCCGGTCAACTGTAAGTTCTGTTATTGTGAAGTGGAAACAACATGGACAACAACTTAGTGCAATTGATTTGACATTCATTTATTATTAAGCCTGCCAACACCATCTTGCAGATGACCTCCAGCACAGGTAGTCTCCAATGAAGACTGACATCAAGTCCGTAGGCTGTACAGTTTCAATTACGGTCTTATTCAAAGTTGATATCTATCAATGTGCTACATTTCATAAACAGGTAAATGGTACTCGAGACATTGGAATAATTTGACAATTTCAATAGCATTAATGAAAATGTATTTCACAATATCATTTCATGTACTTGTGATGGTGAATGCGTACTAAAGTGTGATGTTTAATGTTTCACTCTGAATGAAATATAAAGGAGGATCAGGTAAGTGTTACAACAGTCAAACAACAGTCAATATCATTTCACGATCAGTCATGTTACTAGTTGGCCCAAGATGTACTCTTAAGGAGCCTACCATTACTCCTTAAGGTCCAAGGACCTTATTCATGACTTGCATGTTTCATAACAATATTGTTTTTAACATTCATTTGGACTGATGGCTGACTGAGCATTCTACTCAATGGATCGTCAATGAGCGCTGATGAAGATTTCATCAAAAGTGCATTACAGGGGCTTGGAAATACATTGACATTCAATGTATTCAACATACTTTTGTATATACTGTATAGTGTATGTTCGCCCTCTGGTTGATATTGTCATCGGAACAACTTACTTATTTTTTAACAGACTCAGGGCTCTATTTTAACAAACCTAACGCAATGGTCAATCTAAGCGCTGGCGGTAGCGATATAGGTTCGGGGGTGTGTCAGAAATATTTTTGCTCTTTTCACAACCACAATTATCAGGGCAGTTGCTGGCGTTGGTGCAAAAGGGCTGGGTTTTGATGAATAAACAATTTGTGGGTGTGTCGATGGCTTGGCCCCTCACTGGCCAATCAGAATGTGCTCCATGGCTAAATATATGGTTGCTTCAAGTTGTGTATTTACGGTCTTTTATGTATTGCCTTGGAATCAACTCCAATTCCAATGTTAGTCCATAGTAGTTTGTTAAACGGCTTACAGAAACAAAATGTAAACCTATACCATCTTTTCTAAATATGTTAACTTGAACCTGTTTGCAGTCCACATTGTTCTAAGTAATTGCATGTTTTCAATGTTGAAATATACATAGCATTCGCACCTATATAGGGGCTAGGCCTACTGTAAATTGCATTATGCCTGAGCATGGACAAGATTCAATTCATTATTGATAAGGCCTAAAAACAGAGAGTGAATCATTCTAATCAAATTCTAAACAAAACGAAACAACAACTTGTTTTAAATAGGCTACACTTACAGGCACTATAATTGTTTCCCTGGGCATATAATATTAAAACAAATCAGACTATGGAGGGTTTTTACGCACATCCAAACTTTTCACAGTAGCTGGACAAAGATCCAATATAAAGAGAAAGGGAGCATGTCTACTAACCGTTATACTGCTCCCAAATACAGTATAATGTTTTATATACAGTGCCTTCCGAAAATATTTAGACCCCTTGACTTTTTCCACATTTTGTTACGTTACAGCCTTATTCTAAAATTGATTATTTTTTTTATATTCCCCAACAATCTACACACAATACCCCATAATGACAAAGTGAAAACAGGTTTTTAGAAATTGTTGCAAATGTATTAAAGAAAAAAAACTGAAATAGCCTATTTACATATGTATTCAGACCCTTTGCTATGAGACTCGAAATTGAGCTCCAGTGCATCCTGTTTCCATTGATCATCCTTGAGATGTTTCTACAACTTGATTGGAGTCCACATGTGGTAAATTCAATTGATTGGACATGATTTGGAAAGGCAAACACCTGTGAATATCGGGTCCCATAGTTGACAGTGCATGTCAGAG